CCCAGGGTGACACAGTGAGATTCTGTCTTAAAAAAAAAAAAAATTACAAGACTCTTGGCTCAACGCTCATAGCTCAGTGGTTATGGCAATGGCCACATACACCGAGGCTGGCGGGTTCGAACCCAGCCCGGGCCAGCTAAGCAACAATGACAACTACAACCAAAAATAGGCAGGCATTGTGGCAGGCACCTGTAATACCAGCTACTTGGGAAGCTGAGGCAAGAGAATTGTTTAAGCCCAAGAGTTTGAGGTTGCTGTGAGCTGTGATGTCACAGCACTCTACCAAGGGGGACAGAGTGAGACTCTGCCTCAAAAAAAAAAGAAAGAAAAAAAGAAAGAAATGATTTTGGTAGAAACATGGCACAAATTATGTAGTGATGGTACAGATGCAAGAGGACACCGAGGTTCTGTTCAATATGTGACTTTATTCATAAAAGAACTTATCAAAAGTTCATCTGTAGGCCTCAATTCCATATTAAATGGTATCATCGAAACATGAATCTCATTAAGCCCTAGATGTTTACAGACCTTTCCGTTTTTAGCTTTATGTGACAAAATAGATTATTGCTTTTTAATACCAAAGTAATGAGTAAAGTTTTATCAACAGTTTTTTAAGAGTTAAAATAAGAACTTAAAAAAAAATTTTAATGGCCCATCCTTTGGAAATTATTGGAAAATATTCATTGGCTTGCTTTACCATACCATTTGAATGAACTTATTCAAAAATTTCAGAGACTCATGAAACCATAAGAATTCTAGAGGAAAACGTAGGGAAAACTCTTCTAGATATTGGCCTAGACAAAGAATTTATGACTAAGGCCTCAATGGTGGTCATGGCAACAACAAAAATTAATACAGGATTTGATTAAACTAAAAGGCTTCTGCACAACTGAGGAAACAATCGACAGAGCAAATATTCAACCTACCGAGTGGAAGAAAATACTGACATCCGATAAAGGGCTAATAACAAGAATTTACAAAGAACTCAAGTAAATCAGCAAGGAAAAGAAACAGCTCTATTAGAAAGTGGGCAAAAGACATGAATAGAAGCTTCTCAAAAGAAGGAAGACAAATTGTCAATAAACATAAGAAAAAACGTTCACTGTCATTAATCATCAGGGAAATGCAAATTAAAACCACAATGAGATATCACCTTACCTCAATCAGAATGGCTTTTATTAAAAAAAACAAAAGTCATAGATGCTGGTGTGGAGGCAGAGAGAAAGGAATCCTTACACACTGTTGGTGGGACTGCAAATTAGGACAACCTCTAAGGAGGACACTATGGAGATTCCTCAAGGAACTAAAAGTAAATCTGCCATTCAGACCAGCAATCCCACTACTGAGTATTTACTCGAAGGAAAAGACAACTTTTCATCAAAAAAAGACACCTGCACTCAAATGCTTATCGCAGCACAATTCACAATTGCGAAGATGTGGAATCAACCCAAGTGCCCATTAATTCATGAATGGCTTAATAAAATGTGGTATGTGTATTCCACGGAGGACTATACCTTCACCTCCTGGGGGAAGGACTCAAATACAACCAATGTAACCTAATCGTATGTATCCTTATATTAATCTGAAATTAAAAAAAAATAGATGAATTGATACCTTTTGCAACAATCTGGATGAAACTGTAGGACTATTCTCCTAAGTGAAGTATTTCAAGAATGAAAAAAGAAACATCACATGTGTTCACTATTAAACCAGAACATGTACGTGCCCAGAGGGAGGTAAACATCAGTGGACATTACGAACTCTATCTGGGTCATGTGCATACCTTCACCTGGGAATCAAGCATTAAAAAGACAATGCATGTAACCTAAACGTTTGTACCACTTTAATATTTTAAAATCTTAAAAAATTGCAAGACCATGTGAAAAACTACATTAATATTTACCAAAAATATTTTATTAAGCCTTAGAAAACAGAAAAATACTTCACCAGTGATGTTTTAAGAGTGTTATAATATGAATCCTAAAGAAAAAGTACCTGTATTAGGTTTAGAAGAGCAATGTGTTTGATGCAAAGTTTTAACCATTATTTTAAGAGATTTCTAAAAGCTGTATTCACAGCAGTGTCCACAACTCAGTAGTTAGGGTGCCAGCCACATACACCAGGGCTGGCAGGTTCGAACCCAGCCCAGGGGCCAGCTAAAGAACAATGACAACTGCAACAAAAAAATAGCCAGGTGTGTGGCAGACACCTATAATCCCAGCTACTTGGCAGGCTGAGGCAAGAGAATCGCTTACGCCCAAGAGCTTGAGGTTGCTGTGAGCTGTGATGCCACAGCACACTACCAAGGGCAACATCATGGGACTCTGTCTCAAAAAAAATAAATAAATAAAAAACCTGTATTCACAAAAGCATAAAATCAGGTTCCTCATTATAAAAACTGTAAGTATTTTTATTAGGAAATTGTATGGAAATTCAATATTTATTATCTTTCCTTTGACTTGGTATTTTTATGATAATTATATAACATGAAGAAAACATGATTATTTTTACCTATACAAGGATGTCCTCAAAATCCCTCCAATTTCCCCCAGTGTACCATAGGTATGCTTATTTTTTTTATTTTTTTTATTTTTTTTGAGACGGAGCCTCAAGCTGTCCCCCTGGGTAGAGTGCCATTGCATCACAGCTCATAGCAACCTCCAACTCCCGGGCTCAAGCGAGTCTCTTGCCTCAGCCTCCCAAGTAGCTGGGACCACAGGCGCCCGCCACAACGCCTGGCCATTTTTTAGTTGCAGCCATCATTGTTGCTTGGCGGGCCCGGGCTGGGGATTCGAACCCGCCACCTTAGGTGTATGTGGCTGACGCCTTAGCCGCTTGAGCCACAGGCGCCGAGCCAGGTATGCTTATTTTCTATATATGACACTGACATGAAGAAGTCTGAGAAGCTGGTGCAGAGCTCAACAGGATCTAACATGGAATGATCCAGAATACATGGAGTACGTGTGAATGATACCTTCATCCAAATATGGTGGAAAACTTCAAAAGAACCAGAAAAATGGTGACAGCTTTGAATGAGGATCACTTTTTTAAACTGTATTGAAAAATAAAAAGTTTTACCACAGTATAACAGAAAGCTGATAAACCATAAAACTGAAGACCTAAAGTAAACAAAGTTAAATGAAAAACTTCACTCTGATGGGTACCTGTAATCACATGGTCAATGTGAGGAAATATTAGGTATTAAAAGCCCAGTAATTAGTTACCTCACGTGCTAATCTGAACTGTTTCCTTTGAATAGTAGTGGAGAAATCGGTCAATTTTTTCCTTTGTTCTTCTGTTCTTTTCTTGCCATTTTCCCTAAATATGTCTACGGAGATGAACCCACTCAGAGGACATTTTCCCACTGTGTCCTCTGAAGGTCTATCCCAGGGGACCCCCATGAGAACCACAAGCAAGCACACTCTTCTAGGAGTTGTGCTAAACTCAGACAAAGGGTCCCTAACCACTTTGACATGAAGGGCACCAGACTGCAAACTAGCACTGAAAATGCACAAGCCATTAAAAAAAAGCAGGCACCAACACGGAATACTAGGAGCTATTTCCCCACAATATGCCTGATCACTTTTAGGGCCTGGTTACACTTTCATTCCAGGAGTCACAAATGTGACATATTTACAGAAATAATGGTCAATAGCAAAGATTTTCTTTGGCGAGGAAGAAGAGGAAAGAGAAAAAAGAAGGAAAGGAATCTACCCTAGAGGCTATAATAATATTAAATGCTGTAAGACAGACCAATAAGTCATCAAGTGCATTAGATATACATTAAAATATATTTAAAACAAATAAATCTCTTGAGCAACTAAGAGTGCTTGGAACATAGGAGATTTTTTAAATAGTGCTAGCAATAATTATTGCTATTGTTATTAATCCTTATCCACATTTTTATAACAAAGGAAGTCATAGATGCTCTATCTCCAAATCTCTTTAAACTTTAATAAATATGTAGAGTTTGTAGAAAACCTCAACTGGACTGTCCCTTATATTCAATTAATAGGTAAAATTAAAACCTCAGCCCAGATAGCAGCTTCTAAGGCACCAAAAACCCTTATGAAGTTCTATACTATCTTTGGTTATTTTCTTTAATTCCAATTCTGAAAAAAATAAATGAATTGAAGACATTAAAAACAGATACACTGTATCTGAACTGAAATTACAGTATTATTCAGTGTATGAAAAATGTCTAGCACTATGTATAGACTCTGAACTACTGGCATAATGTCTAAATTATATAATTTAAAAAACTAAACATTTAGAAAAAAGTATTAATGATATTTGCTTTACATTCAACATTGTGGATCATTACAATGTAGTTTTCATCCTGTCAGTAGAGGCCAAAGGTAACAAAAACACATGGCAGCTAAGTTATCCAAACTAGCCTAAAAATATCATATGGAGTTAAAACATTGCAAATGAACATTGTCTATTGAGCAATTGTTTCAAACACCCAGAACCACAATAAGTACACATATACAGTATAATACAGACCTACAGTAATTATAAATATGTTAAACAACTTTAATTTTTGTTAGTTAATAAGGAATCCCTTTAAGTCAATTTTGGCATGGTGCCACAGGCTCTATCAAAAAAAAATGAATGCAAAGTATGGGTTATTTACAGGTTTACAATAAGTAGCTCTTGGAGTCTTCAAGTAGATGCATCGTTAAAAGGTAGGCTTGTTCATGTATTCTTCCATTGTCTGAAAGAGAACAAGAAATTAGAACAATTTTTTCTTTAAACTGCATCCCCCTGCAGACTGTGAAATATTCTCCATTCTCTAACTTATTTATCTGCCATGATAAATAAGAAGAAGCTTTCAAAATATACAAGGACATAAATCTTTGCATTCTAATCAAGAAGGATGGTTCAAAGTTTGAGTATGATTCGTATACACATCCACATGGCTAGAATTAAGTAACTTTCAATGGAGAAAAAGTTAAGCTTCATCATAAAATGAATGTCTGATAAGAGACATGCAAAACCAACTGTTGCCCAGATACCACTGTTGACTTAGGATAGAAGTGTGTCTGCTAAAACCATCATGAGAGCCACATCCGGGCACATGTATCAGAGATGTATAAATTGTACTTGCATTATTGCATAGAATGTGCAGAACGCCTTTAATATAGTTATTGATCAGACATAGAAGATAAACATACCACAATTCTTAAGAATTTCTGCCAGGTGTTTTGAAAGATTTCCCTTCAAACTGTACAAATTATTCTTCATACTGTTCATCAGTTACCAAGTTTGCTGATATGCCACTAGGCCACAAATTTTTTCTAGCACTTTGTTTTTTTTAAAGTTTGATCAGCCTCACAATTACAAGCAAAGTTCCAAGTTACAGTGATGTTTCCAGCCCTGTGCCATACCAGATGAAGCCCTATGAGACGAAGGGACTTTCTCCTGCATGATTCTCCTGTCACCCACATGGGCAATAAGAGAGCTTAAGAGGGTAAGCAAGTCATCCTTTTGTTTGAGTCACTGTCTGCTTGTTTAGCAATCAAGGCTGGACATATTTGTAAAGTTTAAACCCTGGGGCAAGTGATTCGTTTGAACTGACCAGGAAATACACTGAATGGTATGCACCCAGCAGACCATGGCCTCTGGCCACACAGGAGTGCTCAGGGGATACAAGGGTTGAGAAATCAGGTTCGTAACCAGTTTTCACCAGCTCCGTTTAGAATTCCAGAGTTCCTCTGCCGAAAAAACTTGAGTTCAGTCATCCACACTTTCTTACACAGCTCTCACCTCCTAAATGGGCATTGGCCAAGACAGCCCCACACCCCCTGCCCTGTATCGCCTCCCACAGATGCCGCTTATGTCCTTTAACTTGGCAGATCAGCGGTGCTGGTTTTGTGGAGTCTAGAGATTATGCAATTTTAAAAAGCATAGAAATTTACAAATGTAAAAGGTATAAGGTTTCTTTACAATGAGAAAAAGAATGATGGCAGATTACAAATTTTAAAAAGATGACAAATATTACAAAACACAAAATAGTCATGTTATTTCCATTAATTAATTGCTTGATGCCTACCTCTCGGTCGTATCTTATATTTATTATATGGCTACATGTTCTTTGCAGTTAAAATATCTTCACTTTTGCAAATTTAACAAAAGCCCACAAGCAGATGAGAGTTAAGCCAGTCACGGGCCTGGAGTTGACACTGGATGGCCTTGCGGTTCATAGGCCTCTAGTTTTTGGCACTGCTCACACCCTCAGATGACTCAGTCTGCTAAATATCACACGGGCTGCTCTGAGTTGAGCCATGCTGTTAACTCAAGTTATGTGAACAATCATGTAAATACAGGTATTTCCTTGAGTTTGCCACTTTAAGGGTTTGGAACGGATTTTTATAGCAGGCACAACTTTAACTGCCCTCACTTTCACAGGGAGAGAGCTGGAGTCTGCACCTAGGGACCGTCTTCTGGATTCATCTGGCTCTGCAGTGGTTCCTGCAGGCACAGAGCAGTACATGTTCTGACTTTCTACTGCACTGTGGTCTGGCTTAGCTGTTAATGTGGTTTATGGTTTTCAGGGTGATGCTGCTGTGGTGCCCCTCCCAGGTTCATACGCATTCACTAGCGAATATGAGGTATTGTTTGAGATTGTCAGGTGCCATCTGACTAGCCAAAAAAATAAGTCCCTGCATATTTTTCATGACAGCCAACAGCACAGATAAGCAAGAAAAGTCCTCCTTAAAATCAGCATGCTGCCCATAGGCCGCAGGTTGGACACCTTTCCCACCATTCCTTCTTAACACACTTTGGATAAAACATCGACTGTGTGCCACCCCCACTGGTCGTCTCAGGAATCACAACCTCTCCAGTTAATAACCACTATCTCCTTTCATTTTCCTTCTAATTGACTGTGTACCATCGTCCACACTGGTGTTACTCCCAAATAAGTCATCCCCCAAGGAATCAAACTATTCTTTTCTTTGCCTATTTCAAAGACTAACCTCAGCACACTCAGAATAAGCTTTCCTATTTGGAGATTTGGTACTATGTATCTTCTTACTAAATATGTAGATAGGCACAGCTTTGTTTTTAATTCTAAGAAACTCTCATTAAGTAGAGGTTAGGGAACATTCCCAGGGGCTACTTCAAGGTTGACAATTGTTCCAGCAGTTAGAACAATGTCACGAATGCCTCCCTTAACCTTTAGTGAATACAAATATGTGCTTATATCCAAAGGACGGGAAAAAAGAAAGCATTTATTTCCTTTACGTAATTACATTATGTGCTCTTATCCATTATAAATTTTTCTGATGCAGACCAGATGTACAGAGTCAATCTTTCAACAAGTTCCCCAAAATATCTACTGACTTCACTGGAGTACCAGAGCCCAAGAAAATACTAATAACATTTTCTCTCTTTGGCAGGTGCTGTTAATTCAACAAGAGAAATTTAGAGGGTGTCCATGACATTGCCTGCTCACTTAGAGCTGGCACAACCTGGGCATACAGGGGCTCAATTCAGGGTCCCCTGAGAGTCATCCATGAAGACCTTCCCCTCAGTCACCAGGGACAGGAGCTACCAATTAGTGTTTAACTGTGAAAGAGCTCACTCTGGAAAGAGCTGTTTCCCACAGACTTAAATGGAACTAGAAACACCAGATTCATGGCAAGCCCTGTAAAACTCTATTTCCTACAGAGGGGATTTCAAATTAATCCAAGTGTGTGTTGGCCCCAATTCAGTGAGCTTTAATTACTAGAATGCCGAAGACCCTATTAAAAAGTCTGTTTCTCCTATAGGAGATTTCACAGTGAGGACCCTAAGGATAGAATTATAAATAGCCACCATCCCCACCACCCTCAACCCACACTCCAAGCATATTTTAAGAAATGCTGCTCTGTGGAATTTCCAAGCCACTGATTTCTCAAGTACCTTGTAAAATTCCCTTCCTGTGGCATTTGGAGAGAACCAGGTAAACATTAAAGAGATTAAATGTATGTTTTGAGGTGAAAACACCTCTAGTAATGAATGCACGGGCTTCCCAATAGGCATCCAGAGCTGGCTGTGAGCGCCCACTCAAATAGACCTCTTCCTCCAGGGCCATGCACCTGAAGACGGAGTCCCTCAATAGGCAGAAGCAAGTCATCAGCTCAAAGATGTGCCAGAACAGCTGCTGGGAAATAATGCCTAACATTGTTTTTTAACTTTCTTTCCCTTGAGACAAAGTCTCACTCTGTCACCTGGGCTGTACAGTGCAGTGGTGTCCTCACAGCTCTCTGCAACCTTAAATTTGTGGACCCAAGTGATCCTCCTGCCTGAACCTCCTGAGTAGTTGGGACCACAGATTCCTGCCACCATGCTCAGTTAATTGTTTTTTTCTACTTTTTCTAGAGACAACATCTTGTTCTTGTTCAGGCTGGTCTCAAACTCCTAGCCTCAAGCAATCTACCTGCCAGAGTGGTAGGATTATAGGCGTGAACTACTGTGAGCCCTGGCCAAATTGTTTTATTAACTCTTATATCCAAACAGCAGGAAGAATGGCTTTAACACTAATTTCTAAAAGGTACTTTACAATGCTCTGAATCCTTGACCTACTGTTATGAAAATAAGAGGATGGGAAGGCCAACTGAGGCTGTGAGAAGTCCCCAGAGGTGGCAGAGCTGGGATGGAATCCAGGCCCTCAGGTGCTGGCTTGAGCTGGGGCTGATCAGATCACCTTGTGTGGGAGAGCAGAAGTTGGGGGCAGAAGTTGGGAGAGAAGGTGCTTGCTTTCTCACCGTGTCCTTGGGAGAATGAAGGGTTTAACGTTCCCTTATTGGGTATGATGCAAATTTATGCTGCTTCTAGAAGAAAAGTTCCACTAATTTTTATATAAGAATTGCAGAGCATCAGAAGTACCAAATGGATGCTTCAGGGCCCACTTATATCTTGACAAGAAAGCCATGGTGTTCCCAATTTATTTACGCACACAGGATCACACAGCCAGCCTTCCCAGGAGGTGAAAGAAATTTTAATTAAAATGATAAATGCCATCTTCAATAATAAAGCTCTAATATCCTGGCAAATGAAATAACTATGTGCTGCTATTCTCCTTTCCCAGGGCAGCACAGATATTTTAATGAAAGTCTTTTCATATACCTCATCAAATTATTTTTGAAAAGAATAGCACCAAGCATTTGATGACTGTTTTTTGACAATGAGGTATCCTTATGCTAAAAAGCCCAGCCAGACTAAAGAGCAAAGGCTCTGGAGCCCAGTTGCCCAAATTCAGATCTCTCTTCCACACTTACTACCTGCGTGAAATTGAGCAGGTCATGGAACGTCCTGGTGTCTTAATTTATTCACCTCTAAAATGGGGGCAACAGTACTGCCTACCTCTCAAGAGTTGTTATGAGAATTCAATAAGCCAGTTCATGTGAGTGGTTTAGAAACTGTACCTGGGAGAGAGTGAGCACTCAGTAAGTGTTGACTAGTACTATAATTATTAGCACCATGACCATCTCCACACCAGTCTGGGAAATGGCACTGACCTCCTGTAACATGTCTGAGTCTTCGATGGCTTTCACAGCAGTCCTCTTGGATGTTTCCTGAATTTCTCCACCTATGATAAACTCGTCAAGGATGAAGTAAGCCTTTTCAAAATTAAAGATAATATCCAGTTCACAGACCTGGTGGGACAAAAACAGATGTTTTGATGAAGCTGCAGTTGTATCAGGGGAAACATTTGCCAGTGTCTGGAGCGTTTTCAGTGTATGCACCTGTGTGGGGGACCAGAGATAAATCTATCATATGGTATTTTCAGGACAGAAACATCGGGAATTCCAGACCTTTAATGTGTAAAGGCACATTCTGTTAAAGAAAATCATGCCCTTAGATAATAATATTTTATGCTGCAACAAGAAATTTGAGACTCACTCTGCACAAGGGGACACTGTGTCCAGCTACGTCCCAGGCAGGGGGCAGAGCTTGACCTCTCCTGCTCCCTGGTCTGTAAATCTTGGAACTCTCTTAGCATCTCACCCCTCAAAGGCAAATTAGCTCAATTCAGCTAATTATTCTCAAACTATGCCATAGGCCAAGGGTTCTCAAACTTTGGAGCATATTAGATTCATTCTGAAGGTTCATTAAAAACACACAGAGCAGGGACCCCACCCCCAGAGTATCTGCCTCAGGAAGGCTGGGCAAGACCCAAGAGTCTGCTGTTTTAACAGGTTCACAGATGACACAGCTGCTGGTTTGGGGAACTTCCTGTCAAGAACCACTGTCACAGACCAAAGCCAAGTCTCAGAAACATGGGTGTTTAAGTGCAGCAGGTGGCAAGACCACACCATGATGCAAATGAGGCTCATGTCCAAAGCCTCCCCCAGACGCTGTCAGGCACCAGCCTGTCTATCTTCCTACTTCTTCCTCCTGACACTTCTCTTCTGCCTTCCATATCATGCCCCACCTGCCCAACTGAGCCGCCCTCTTAAAGCTCTGCCCATTGAAAGTCTTCATTTCTCCCCCGTGCCCGCCTCTCAGCAGCATCTGACACTCTCCCAATCTCTGTTCTTTGAAATCTCCCTTATTTTTTTTTTTTTTTTTTTGAGACAGAGTCTCACCATGTCACCCTTGGTAGAGTACCATGGCATCACAGCTCACAGCAACCTCCAACTCTTGGGCTTAAGCAATTCTCTTGCCTCAGCCTCCCAAGTCGCTGGGACTACAGGCATCCGCCACAATGCCTGGCTATTTTTTGTTGCAATTGCCATTGTTGTTTAGCTGGCCCAGGCTGGTTTCGAATCTGCCAGCCTCAGTGTATGCAGCTGGAGCTGTAGCCAGAAAATCTCCCTGTTCCCTAGACTTTGTTAATACCAGTTAATGCCTGTTCTCCCCTTCTGTCTCTGATGATTCCTTCTCAGACTCCTTGGACGATTTATCACCACTCTTCCTTATCTTCATTTTCCTGTATTCCTGACATGCTTAAGACACATCCCTCAGCAGAATACACATCTCTGCCTCACGTTGCTTACATTCTAGGGATCCCATCCGTCTTCTCCTTGAATACCTGTGTTCCTTAGGGGACAGTCTTCTTTTCACAAAGCCCATATTCTCCCAGACAATTTCACTGACTCTCCAGAACTGTGTCTAGCATGCAGGTGGCTCAACAATCCTAGAGACTCAGCCCTGATTTCCCTCTGGGGTGCTAGTCCAATACTTTTCCCTGATAACCAGCCATCTCCACCTGCCTACTCTTCAATCCATGTCACTATGTCCCAAACCATCATCACGCTTCTCCTTTTCCCTTTAGCCCCTATTTTGTCCAGCAGGTATGACCTCATCCTAATTGCTCAACCTAATTCATTCTAGAGTTCAACTCCTTTCCCCCTCTCCCTCATTTATTTCCCCCTACTTGGTCTCATCTCTCTCAATTTGGTCACCAATCTCTACTGATTCCATTGTTTAAATAAATCCTAAAGGCTGCTTCTTTTTTCTGTCTTCATAACCACTGCTGGGACCAGAAGCACCTCTCGCTTAAGCCATCAAGCCATTGCAGTAACCTTCTAAGTGGCAGCTGTCGCTGTGTAGGGCCACTGGCCACTAACTAGCATTTTAGCAAAGCTGACCCTGTGCCTCTCCAGTGTAAGGTTTAATCTCGGGTTCAGGACAAAGTGTAAGGCCTTGGAGTGGCACACAGACACCTGCACCAGGGCCATGCTCTCTGGTACCATGAGCTCCTCTGCATGTCAGCTGTCCTGGCACCGACTCACAGTGTTCGTTCATGCCTCTTCCCCTCATATATTCTAGCAATTCTTGGACTGTTCCCCCAACTGTGTTTTTCTTTATTCTCTTGCTGACAAAACCAAGCTCATTTTTCAGGGCTAAACTCAAAAGTCAGGGGCCCCGCAATTTCCAAAATCCTGTTGTCTCCATTCAGATTTCATAACACTCCCTCTGGGCTCTCCTTTCCATCTTCTGTGCACTAGTTCACGCTGATCCACGGATCACTAATCCCTCTCCCTGCACTTTGAGCTCAGGGCAGAGACCCTGTCTGCATCATCTCTATATCCCTAGTATGTGGCCCATAGTAGGATGTAATAAATGTTTGTGGGATAAAATGAGCTGCCACCATTTGGCCTTGTTTCTGTTATACTGGAGATTAATGGTTTCCCTAATAAATAATTCTCTGATTCTACTGAATGCTCTAACTTTAGATAAAATAGATGTCCAAGTTAGCAAATTGCTCCATGTATCAATGAGTTAGGTCAGTAAACTTACAGATGCCATGAAGAACACAGTATATGCTGACAGGGTGTAACATACTTTATTTAAACAATTCCTTTACGGATATGAATAGACTTTGGCTGTTTCTAGTTTTTATTATAAGTGATGCTGCCATAATTCTTGTTCATATATATTATTATACACTAATTTGAGTATAGCATAGGAATAAATTTTTCATGGAATGGTTGGGTCAAAAGATTTGTACATTTAAAACTGATAAATACTATAATTTGGTCCTTCAAAATAGTCTATAAAACTTGCAAATTCTAGTAACAGAGAGAATAAATGCCTATTTATCCATGCCATCGCCAGCACTGAATATTGTCTCTTAATTTTCAGAAAGACATGAATTAAATGTGCACTTCCCTGCTTGCTTGTGAGGCTCTACATCTTATCAGATGTGCGTTGGCCTTTTCCATCTCATTCCTTGTCTATGAATTGTTTCTTAGAGGCTTTATTTGTTTTATTCTGTTGTGACGTTTATCTTAAGATTTTCAAGACTTCCTCCTATATTATAAACACTATCTCCTTTCCTACAAATATTTGCTGTGTGGAAGTCGGAAAGAATGAGGTAGATTGATCCAGACAGACATGGAAAGAGCTCCAAGACAGACACACAGGGCAAAACAAAGCTGCAGAGGAATATGCACAACGCAATATCATTTTTTAAAAACTATGTATGTCCTGAAGGATATGTTAAAAAATATACATTTAGAAATTTTAAAGACTATATAAATAAATAAAAGGGAATCACAGCAGATCAAATGTCTATGCACAAGAAAGAAGGTACGAGAAGTAAGCAGTTACCAGAGGTCAGGAGAGGCAGAAGTCAGGAGGGACAGCAGCGATAGCTGAGGAACCTCAGAGTTCAAGGCAGGTGGAGACCAGGAATCCCAAGACAGACAGGAGCCTCACTGGGAGAAATCATTAGTTAGAATCCTGTAACGTGAACTTGGCAGATCCTAATGCAAGTTCTTTAGTAACTTCTTATACCTGACTCTGAGAGCTGCAACCCAACCCCAGGCCTGTAGGGCCCTCCAGCAGCCATAGGGAAATTTATTTATTGCACCTAGTTTCTTCTTTTTTGAGCCGAAGTCTCACTTTGTCACCCTCGATAGAGTGCTGTGGCTCACAGCAACCTCTGGCTCTTGGGTTCAAGCAATTCTCTTGCCTTAGCCTCCTGAGTAGCTAGGACTACAGACACCCAGCACAATGTCTGACTATTTTTAAAGACAGGGACTTGCTCTTGCTCAGGCTGGTCTCGAACCTGTGAGCTCAGGCAATCCCCCCACCTTGCCTCCCAGAGTGCTGGGATTACAGGCATGAGCCACCATGCCCTGTCTTTACTGCACCTAGTTTCAAAAGATAAGGATAAGGTAAGGTGGCATGCACAGTTAGATACATACGACACACACACACACACATGCAGCTTGATATACAGTTACTTTCTGCAGACCATAAGAGAAAGGGATGTATAAGTTCCATTGATATTATAGAGAATGTTACCCAAAAAAGCAACTATTTCATATATAGCAACTCTAAAGTGCTATTCTCTTGTTATTCCTTTTTGTTTTGTTTTGTTTTTTTGAGACAGAGTCTCACTTTTTCACCCTGGATAGAGTGCCATGGTGTCATAGCTCACAGGAACCTCAAACTCTTGGGCTCAGCCTCCCAAGTAGTTGGGACTACTGGCTCCTGCCACAACGCCCAGCTATTTTTACAGTCTCATTCTTGCTCAGGCTGGTCTTGAACCTCTGAGCTCAGGCAATCCACCCGCCTAGGCCTCCCAGACTGCTGGGATTATAGGCGTGAGCCACTGCACCGGCCTACTATTGTTATTCTTTGAGTCTACTCTACAGTTATTCTTGAGCCATTTGAGAATAGGAAGAGAATAATATGTCCAGGAGAATCTTGGACTAAATTCAGGTTTCTTCAGCCACTGCCGAATAACTCAAATACTTATAAATTCCAAATTCCACCTTAAGGTTCTGTCCCAGTATCTAAAATGAATAAATAAATAAATAAAAACAAAAATCTTGTGCTCCAGTGACTGCTCTCCATCTGATTACGCAAATACACATGCTTCCTCCGCCCTCATATTAGTAAACACATGAACTTCTTTTTTATTTTTCCTCATGTGTGTAGATTCTGGAAATCAATCGTCTAACTTCATCTTCGATTTCCTGGCATTGTGCTTTACTATAATTTGACTTGAGGCTCTTTTCTTGTAGCAGAATACATGATGCAGTATGATTATTTCTCACATTTCACCAACTAAATCCTTCTGGGCAGAGTCTAAAAAACACCTGCCATTATTCAATTCTGTTCGAAAGTGAACACACAAAAAGTTTTAAGTTGAGATGCTCATTGTCCCTAATTATTAGGTAAATGCAAATTAAAACCACCTTGAGATATCATCTAACCCCAGTGAGAATGGCCCATATCACAAAATCTCAAAGCTGCAGATGCTGGCGTGGATGTGGACAGAAGGGAACACTCTTACACTGCTGGTGGGACTGCAAACTAATACAACCTTTTTGGAAGGAAGTATGAAGAAACCTTAAAGGACTCAAGCTAGACCTCCCATTTGATCCTGCAATCCCATTACTGGGCATCTACCTAGAAGAAAAAAAACATTTTATCATAAGGACACTTGTACTGCAATCCCATTACTGGGCATCTACCTAGAAGAAAAGAAAACATTTTAGCATAAGGAGACTTGTACTAGACTGTTTATTGCAGCTCAATTTACAATTGCCAAAATGTGGAACCAGCCTAAATGCATTCCTGGGTTGGTGGGCATTTAGGCTGTTTCCACATAATGGATTAACAAGCTGTGGTATATGTACACCATGGAATACTATTCAGCCATTAAAAAAGATGGAGACTTTACATTCTTTGTCTTAACCTGGATGGAACTAGAACACATTATTCTTAGTAAAGCATCACAGGAATGGAAAAGCATGATTGCTATGTACTCCATTTTGATATGAGGACAATTAATGACCAAGTACGTGGTGGGGGTGGGGGAAGGGGAGAGCAGTAAGTGGGATGAAGGGAGGGGGTGGGGGGTCTCAGTGTGTGACACACCTTTTGAAGGCAAGACTTTACCTAACAAATACGACCAGCATAACCCGGTTTTGTACCTTCAATGAATCTCCAACAATAAAAAAAATTTTTTTTTTAAAGTTTCAAGTTCATATAGTAAATGCTTCAGATGAGAAACTATATAAAGACTATAAAGCTACATATAAAATAATAATAATAATAATGCAAGGTTGCTTTTAGCTGCTCTAGGTTATATTAGAAACTACTATTTTTTAAAATATTGTGATCACTCTCTCTCTGCCCCTCGCAGCAGCCCTATGAGGTTAGTAAAGCAAATATTTCTTTCAGTTTTTTTGGAGGGTTGTTTTTCTCATCTGTGAAATGGAGATACAAGATGGACCCCAAATCATAGATCTAGTGAGCTGACACCAGCATCTACCTGGCAGGACTCAGAGTGCTCCTGTTCTAACCACCAAAAAACTCTCTAAATCAAGTTCAGAGGCTGTCTAGGATGCCAATATCCACACACAATGAGAACATCAGTAAGAATTCAGATTACTTTCCGTAATAGGAAAATATGGCCAGTATCTAAATCATCAAACAGATCCTTATCTACCGTGAGACCACTGAGGCATTGCTTCTGAGCCTCTATAAATTGGGGCTAATGCTACTTACAGAAGACAGAAAGATTAACTAGTTAATCCTTGTAAATCTCCTTGGAATTGAAAAGTTCTAAAAAAAAAAAAAAAATACATAAATTAGTGGCCAGAGATTTTGATTCATCTGTCTTAGGAAGATAATATTTTCTAGTGTTACAAGAGAAGCTCCGTACAAAGTATTCCCTTGGATAATATAAGGGCAGCATTCAGGAAAAGCTTTGGTATTAACACAAGAAGAAATGAAAACCAACGAATAATACTTTATTCCTGAGATGATGGTGATGGAAGTCCTGGAAGGCTTTGCTCGTCACTGTTAATTAATAAGAACTGAACATGTACTGGGCATATTAGCCTTGAATTGCTTTTAGCTGCTCTAGGTTAATGAAAGATTAATAGAACTTTATATTGAATTAAATTTAGGCACATGACAAAGACAGAGCTTCCAAAGGCATACCAAAAGAGGACGGAAAATTAGTGTTGGAGAACTAGAAAGTCACTGTGATTCTCTTTATACTTTAGCTGGACTTGGCATTGGGGAAGGTCACTCAGATTCTCTCTAGTAGTAGCATGTTCTGAGATAGCCAGAGGAAATGTGGCAAGACAGATTGAGATCAAAATTCAGTCCCGATTCACATGATCACTGTCAGATTAATTTAGGAAAATGCAACAAGTCAACCCAGAGTTTAGAAATGAGGAGGAGAAGACAGGTAACCGGAAAGCCTAGAACTAGAAACATTTCTTCAGACCCTTGCAAAAGGCCAAGTCTATAGTGTATTTTAAAAGAAAGCAGCAAAGTGTTCAGAACTCATTTGAATTATAGAAAGCATTGGATTAAATGTTTACTGAGAGAAAATAGGCTATTAGGTATTTACAAACGTCTCACTTAATAATGAAAATAAACTTGGTCTGTCTTATTACTTCTATTATTGACTAGCAAGCTGATATAAGCAAGGATTTGTCTTAAAACAGCATTTATAAGGAAGAAAAAAGAAAGGAGGGAAGAAAAATAATTTTAGAAACCTTTGAGTCCTAATTCTTATGAAAAGTGTTACCACTAATCTGATAAAAACCCAACCAAGACTACAAATACTGCTCGTGCCATTAAAGAGAATGCAGAAAACTCTTCTGGAAGCAAATTCTCCTAACAACATTAAAAATCTTCAGTGAGAAGGGAATAGGGAAGTGGTTATCGTTCTGGGGGGCGGGGGGAACATGTTCCAAATCCAATCCCTTACTTCTGAAATTGTGAACTGGATGTTTTAGAATATTTGCTACAATCTGGCCCACAGCTGGTTATCAGTGATAGAAAAAAAGAAAGCGCCTCAGGTTGTGATCTCCAGGCAGTAGCAATTTGGTGGCCAAGCAAATCCTGTATCAACTAAGGATGCTACAAGGCTGTTCCTTGTGCCTGGCTCACTGTTAGGTACATAAAGAGAGAAAATCACTGGCCTTGGAAGAGTGGTCTGGAACCAATGTTTGGAAAGCTTAAATGTCAAGCTGCGGGGGTTGAGTTTTATTCAGTGCTGATGATGGAAAGTGACAGCAGAGGAATCCCACACCTGCATTTGTGCTTCATACAGAAGCTGGCCATCAACACGCTAAGAGGGGGGACAGAGAAAAGCCCAGAGGCAAAGAGCCAGATGTGACCTTTAAGAGGAAAGCAAAACTGAAATCCCAAGTAAACCTGGCAGTGACAGTGAAAAGAAGAAATAGATTTCAGCTCAATTTGATAAACAGAGACAAAGGGTAGAAAAAGATGGAAGAAACACCTTCTTTTTGCATTGAAGGATCCTGGAAAGTAATAAATTCCAACCACAAGACAGAACAGTTTTCAGAAGATGGGTTTGGTTCTTGAGAAGCCTAGTGGAGACCATCACCAACAAACAGAAGGAGCGTTGCCCAGTAGAGGAATCCAGAAGAGAGTCGGCAGACACACATAGGGAATAGGAAGAGATGCAGGGCACAGAGGGGGAGGGAGAAGGAGGGGAGTGCAGTGGATGAAACTAAGGAAGGGCCTTCAAAAATATCAGAGAAGAATCAGCAAAAATCAATGTCATGTCAAAATAAAGGGGAAGCGAATTTAAAGAAAGCATTATGATGAAAAAGTTCAGAGCTGCAGAGAGGAGAAAGCGGGTGAAGACCTAAGATGTGCTGCTGGTCTGCACAGTGGCTCACGCCTGTAATCCTAGCACTCTGGGAGGCCCAGGTGGGTGGCTCAGGTCCAGTCTGAGGAAGAGCAAGACCCCGTCTCTCCTAAAAATAGAAAAACTAGCCAGCCATTATGGCTCACGCCTGTAGTCCCAGCTACTTGGGAGGCTAAGACAGAAGGATCTCTTGAGCTCAAGAGTTTGAGGTTGCTGTGAGCTATGATGACATAGCACTTGACCCTAGGGTGACAGAGTAAGACTCTGTCTCAAAAAAAAAAAAAAAATATGTGTCACTGGTGCTGACCTGGAGAAAGGGCTCAGTATGACTTTATGATTTCCCTGGAGTGGTAGTGATGTGACCCATGCTGTAATCACTGCAGAGGGAATAGATTCTAAGGATTAGGGCACCTGCTATTGTGTTTTACTTGGCAGAAACTGCAGAAAGACTGCCGAATAGCAATGTGAGGGAAAGGATTTAGATTCATTTGTTTGGTGTTTTTTCCTTAAGTATAAATAATCTTAAAGATTTGTAGCTTAGAATAAAAAGCTGGAGAAAGTGTGAAAAGTTGAAATAGAAAAGAGACGACAAAGCCAATGAGAAATCAGGGACAGAATACCAAAGGATCTTTCACTAAGTAAATTCTGGCTCACCGAAATAAGGTCTCTAATGTATCTGTGGTCTGAAAATAAATGCACGCCTCCTTGTGAAAGTTTTGGGTCTTTCTTTTCTCTTCTCCTATTCCCATTTTACAGATGATGGTTTTGGGTCTTTCATTCACTAAGAATTACAGGCAGAGAGAAAAGCTTTGCATGCACATGCTGGGCAGACTAGTGTGATCCTTGGTACAAATGTTATTCATACTTTAGATTTGAGAGTGAGAGAAGGGATGCAATCAGAGACAGAGCTCAACTGAAATGGAGATTGTAAGCTGGTACAAACAGACCAGTACAGCACTTACATTTCCAAAGTATTTGTCCAGCAACTCCACGTAACGATGTACAATCTCTAGTGTCAAGAGCTCATTGTCCTGATTTTCTACTGCACAGCAAAAATATAAACTAGCATACCTTGAAAAGAAAAATAACAAAGAAAAGCAAAATAGGATGATACATCAAACAATCCAAAGACAATTTTTCCCAACGAATACGCAAAGTGACCTCCTCCCCCATCCAAGGCTGAAGTCTTTGTTCGCCATAGTCAATGCCCTCCTGAAATGCAGGCATAAATCAGACTAGATTGTAGGGATTGGATTACTTCTGTTAATCACGTAAAAGGCTCTCAACAAAACCTTCCCTTGAAGAGCTATGATCGGGGGAGAGAATCATCTGGCCTATGATAATCAGAGTATCTGTCCAGGCCTCTCTCCAGCCTGTAGATCATCCACTGTAAAACGTGAAGCCCCCAGACCTATGCTTCCGAGGGCCCATGCTCCCCTTCTCTCACTTCCCGCTGTTCTTCCCAGCCATTCTGTGTGTGTCTCCCACCCTCAACTTGTCAAACCCTAACCTTGGACCCAGAAAAAAGGAGCTCCACAGGCACCGGCTGGTAAGTCACTCCACTAAACATTAGCCTGCAGAGGTTTCCTCTGCCTTTCCTTTGCAAGAACATTTCTAATGTGTGTTTTCCCTTGGGAAGTTGCAGTATGATGCTGGATGCACAGTCGGGTCAGCTGTGCTCTGGTCTTGGCTTAGGCAGGATCTTCACAGGCAAGATTACATTACCTCTTAGGCCTTGTCTCTGAATTGAGGTTCCTTGTTAGTGTGGCCCTGACGTGCAGGCAGGTGTGGTAAAAAGAATACATAGGCTTTAATGCCATAGAGATCTGAATTTGAATCCTGGCTCTACACTCAATCAATGTGCTTGGGGATTGATTACTAAACTCTCTATATTCTCATTTTACCCTTCTAAGAACATAAATAATAAGGATAGTTAAGAGCTGCCAGATGAACACAGCCCCCATCTCTCTTATTCAGTAACCTGCATTTTTTCCCATAGCATTTGTTACTAACTGAAAATATTTTGTTTATTTAACAAGTAAGTGCACTCCAGGAGAGCAGCAATGTCATGCATCTGGTCCACTGCTGCATCCCCCACCATTAGAACAATGCCAGGAATACAAGAGGTTCTCACAAAGCGCTCCGTGAACTCATGAATGCTCTGTCAATATGCACTGCGAGCACCTAGAATCCATCCTGACTCAAAGAAGTCCTTTCAATAAAATGAAAGTTCTCTGCTAGTTAATCTATGGGCACAAATATTTGGGCCCCATCCTTCAAAAGTTTCAGTGAAAGATGGTATCGATATCATAATCAAAAATGTTCAAAGTTAGAGCCAACCAACCAATAATGAAAAATACATTTCTCATAAGGTTACTCACACCTTTTATAAACAAGTTTTAGCTCCTTCCAGTCAACAAAGCTGCTTGTCCTGTGACCACGAGAGAGAATAATCGAAACAATCTCCCGGGTGATCCTCTTCTTTTCTTTGTCAGGGAGGGTTGTGTACCACTTTTGCAGGCGTAATTTCCCTTGCCGGCTGAAGAGCAGTATGAACTGTATCTAGAACAAAGAGCGGGAGGAAAAAAGAACCCAGTCAACGAGATCATTCTACCCACGCTCTGAGATTCTGTGGCTGGTACAGAGGAGTATAATTCTGAACAGATGGAAAAACACTTAACAGCGTGAAAATTATCTCGCATTTGACCCATCAGAGAAAACAGAAATGTATACATCACAAACATAGCTTACTTCTATTGTAGGATAAAGATAAGATTTTTATTTTAATTCTATTTTTTTATAATTTTTTTATTTCAATTCTTTTTAAGAATTATAAATGCATTTTAGGGGGAAATATATTAAAAGAGCAATAGTATTTTTTTTAGAAAATATTAAATTCTTCCTTCACACAAGCAAAAAAAAAAGTTAAGAACAATGGCAAGATTTACTTTAAAAATAACACCCTATAACTGTAGAAACATAATAATGTAGAAATAAAGGAATAAACAAATGGAGGAAAGAATGAGAAAGCAAGAAAGGAACTATATTCTAAGTCTTAAACATAGCTCCTTACTCCACTTTGTAGACTACTGGCTGGCAGCTTTTTTCAACCATCTCTGCTTATGTAGTATAATTCTCTTTGGCAGCTCAATAGATTTTTAACAATTTAGATAGTGTGTTGCCTATACTAGGAGGCAGCCTGATTTTATTTTCAAATAAATTTCAAAATGTGCATTTGAAATGAAGGTTCATACTTTACGGAATTTTTAAAACATTAAATGACTGTAACATCTAGAAATTTACTTCATAACCTGGGAGATACGGTAGATTTGATTTTCAGAAATGGACAGATGGCCTGGTCTTTATTTTACAAGAGTTTCCATTTTCTCAACCCACAATGTTAGATCAAGTTTAGAATCATAATTTATTTTGTTCAGTTTTTGTATGTTTTTTTAAAATAAAATGTATTGTTACTGCTAATTGTGCAGGGAATAGTATATACTGAGAACTGAAAGTAATTAAAACTCGTTTGAAAACTTCTTACTAATAAAATCATTTAGTTCTTCATTGAAGAGGCTTGCCTGTAAATGTCACCACACAAGCCATGATTACTCACTAGGTGGCGACATCTGAGGGTCAAATGAAACCAGGCTCCTTACTCAGAGCTTCCCCCACTCGCATCCTATAGAATTAGAGGTGCTCTTAATAGCTAATGTTCCATCTTAAAAAGGAGATATCTAAGGAAGGGCAAGATGGCCGCCAGCTGCCAGCCTCCAACAGAAGCTCCCATCCAGAGGGAAGGATAATGTCTGGAAAATACCCAATGAAGTTGGAAGACTGGGAGCCCAGCTTGGAGAGAAGCGTGATATCTGCAGGACACCTCTGCTGAGGCAAGTTGTGACTCCCAGAAAGCAATCTACAGGTACATAATACATCTCAAAGGAAAAGTGTCTTTCCCCTTTCCCAAGAAGTTGTTTTTCTCTTTGTTTTCTCTTCATCTGCTGCTGTAAGTTTTCTACAGGCGAGCAATGAACTGAGGACCTATTATCTCACCCCATGTGTAACAGCTACAGCTACAAGAAGGGGGGGCCTACTCCCCGAGAGAGACCCTGCTGAGATACTGAACACTCTCTCACCAGGGAGAAAAACCAAACAAATGTTTTCACTGCCATTTTGAATTTCCAGTCCACCCTTCCCCTCTTGCCGAAGGAGACAGTGAGGGGGGCCCAAAAGCAGCATCCCCCACCCCTGTGGGACCAAACACCTAGTTCCAGCCCTGCAGCTGGAGACCTGCTAGAGCCATGTGCATTATCCAGGTGGCGGGGGTCATCCCCGCTCCCACGGCCCCAGAGCTTCGGGCATTCTGTGGGCAGCGGCTGAGATTCCCATTCCAGGCACCTGCGCTAGGCAGGCCTAGAATGGCTTGCTAGAGCCACACGCATCCCACAGGTGGTGGCGGAGTTCCCCACTCCAGTCACCCATGCTGGGAGGGCCCAGAACTGCCAGAATCATGCGCTCCTGGCACCCCAGGCCAGCAGCCCAAGAACTACAAGAGGACGGTCAGTTGAGAGGGAACCACACTAGAACGGCGGTACCCCAAGGTGAAGAGCAGCAGCCGCAGCAGCAGGAACAATAAGGCTCACACCTCTGAGGCTCTTCTGGACAAACATGCTCTGCCTTTCTGGGCAACCAGAGGAAGCCAACATTTTCTCCTGTGGCAACCACTGACT